ATTTACATTTTTTAAAAAAAGAAATAAGATCACTATGATCAGTGCTTTTCTGTGGTTCTTTGAAATTACTCAAATAATTCAAACATTTGAAAACCAAAAGTACATTTGATAAGCTGTCTTACACAAGGCTACATCTCAGCCACATTGGAAATAATTTATTTGACTCCATATCTCTGACAGAGTCAAGACACTATGGTAGAGATCTTAACTCTTTGCTAGACAAAAGAATTCACTAATTCAAAGTCAGCCAACACTTATTCTATAGAGAATTCTACTCTCTGTGGACTCCAAGTACTCTTTTGGTCTTTACCTGCACCATCCAATATTGTAGCCACTAAGCTATATGTAGCTACTGAGCTCTTGAAATGTGACTAGATACATCCTGGACTTTAAAGATTTTAACTAAAAAAGTAAAATTTTTTTTAATATTAACAACATGTTGAAACGATAATGTATTAGATAGACTGGATTAAATAATATATATTATTGAAATAAAATTCACCTGTTTCTTTTTACATTTGTAAACGTGGTTCTTAGAAAATTTTAAATTATATATATGGCTTGAGTTACATTTCTACCGATCAGTGCTGCCTATGTAACTCAATCTAGTACTTAGAATCACAGCATTTTCCAAACAAGTTCAAAATCTTTAAATGGAGCGACTGTCCTTTATTTTGCCCACACAAATTTTTGGTGGTCTTATCCTTCCAACTAGTTTAGACACTAAGGTGATTAATAACTTACTGCCTGAATTTCATTCGTTTGTTCAAAACTACAATCCCAATAGAAGTTTTATCCTTCATGATCCATAAAACATGTTTGTTTGTGAAGGGTGGCAGAATGTGCCACCCTAAAATATGCCTTTGGCGTAAAGATTACATTGAATAACATGGGAGTTAGGGTGATGATCCCCCTGCAGTCAAAAATCTGCATATAATTTAACTCTCAAAAACTTAACTGCTAATAGCCCGTTGACCGAAAGCCTGATAACATAAACAATTACACATATTTTTATGTTATTTGTATTATATGCTGTATTCTTACACTAAAGTAATTGTAAAGAAAATGTTATCAAAAAAATCATAAGGAAAATACATTTATTCAAAAAAAAAACACCACATTTAGGAAGACCCATGGAGTTCAAACCCATTTTGTTCAAGGATTAACTATATTTTAAGCTGAAAGGACTTGAAAAATAGCAAATGCAGAAAGAAGCTTTCTCTAAACTCCCATTATTTGCCTAAAGATAGATCTCTCCAATAAAACCTCAATTTTTATAAATCCCCTCCAGGGGAATTTCATCAACCAAGAGAGACCGACTCTTATCACTGAGGAAGAGATCTGAAGTTGACCATACTCCCAGACTTTGTCACAAACTATCATATACACCATCTATTCTTCTAAGGGCCCATTCATCTTTCCTAAAAATCATTTACTCTCCCTTAAGTAGCCTCCATCTCTTCCCCTGTTCTCTATTAAGATGGTTTATAAGCTCTTGAATCTCACCGCTTGTTGGGATATTCATTTTTTTTTCCTGTGATATCCCCATGCACGTAACATTGAAAATAAATTTGCATAACTTATCTCCTATTAATCTATCTTTTGTCAGTTTATTTCATAAATCCAGCTATTGAACCTAGGCCAGTAGAGGGAAAGTGATTCCTCCCCTACAGTTTGAAATGCTTAATGAGGAACCTAAGATTCCTCCAGTAGAGATCTTTTATCAACTTCTTAATCTCCTATTGAAACAGATGGAATGAGTCAATACATTTAGGAGAATTTACCCTCAAGTGGAATTTTTTCTAAATCAGTAATATTTATCTTATTTTATTCATTAAATTCAGTCTTGTAATGTGTATCTCCGATCATTAAAATACAGATTTAAGGTAGCCCTGAATCATCCTTTTAAATTCAGAGTAACTTAAATATTTTTAAATGTAGTATAAAAGAATACTAAGGGGTCCTTATCTGTACCAAAGAACAGAGAAAAGAATATTGTCTATTTTTTCAATCATCCCAAAGACGGCACATAACTGGTACCACTCTAGGTACACAGAAGAGAAGTTAATTCATTCCATGCAATAGATGCCTTGAACTATTATATAGTGGAGCCTAATTAAGAAATGGCCAGGGGAGAAGGAAAAAAATGGCGTAGATGATAAGAGGCTCTGTTCATCCCTCTGGCGACCAAATTAAAGTTGTGACAGAAACAAGGAGGAACGGCAGGGAAAAATTGCCTCGGATCTAGAAGAACAAGCCATACAACTAGGGAGAAATCTAAGAAATCACCCTGCAAAGGGAGAAGGTAGGATGGGGCAAGGATGCATGGCTGCCCAGTCTTGAGCTGAGATGGAGGCAGTGGCAGCAGCAGAAGCCTCTTAAGGGGGCCATGTCCACGAGCAGATTTTCGTGATGACAGACCTGCTTGCTCTGAGCACCAGTGACGATTTGGTTGTGCACAGGGGGCACCAGGGACTTACAGGGAGACACTGTTGCAGTGAGGGCCAAGGCAAGACTCGTCTGTACAGAAGTACCGGGGGTATCCTTTGTTCCCTGTTGAGCCCTCCCTGCTACCAGTGCGCAGGCACAGCACAGCCATAGCTGTGACGTCATCAAACTGGATAACAGAGGTCGCGCCACCCAGAGGATTCCCTGAGACTCTACCTCTCCCAACTCTTGGACTCACCTAAGCCACATCCAGTGATTTTATTCCATTCAAACAGGCTGTCTTGGCTTCTACTGTGGACACTTATGAACT